TTTAAAGCCTCAATTATTTTCTTTATCTCATTTACTCTTTGAACCATTAGAACTTTCTTTCTTTCTCATATCTTCTTGACTGGAATAGCAGATTCCAGCAATTTATCGAAATTAGAATTCTTATTATCACTAATATTGAGGAGGATATATTGAGACTCAAATTCCATATATTATACCACCCAGTTATACACTCTATCTTAATTCATTATACTGGATTGCTTTATATTATATTTGATTGTAGTGATATATCTTCGAAAGATTTTGGACTATATACTTCTAAGAAAGAATTTGGTGATTTTGCTTTTTGTTGAGGTTTTGTTCTTGATAAGCCATTATATAATCTGATTAAATTGTTAAGTATAACAATCGAGGTTTTCAATTCCTGTACCTCCCTTTTTTTTGTATTTTTGATAAGTTTTTGTAAATAGTTATGGGAGTATATCTTCTGAATAAGGTTATTGTTAAGATACTCTTTAAGAAAGGCAGGTTTGAAATGCTTCTTCTAATTTCATTCTTTTATTTGCTATTTCTTTATAGCTTTAATCTCCTTTTGAAGTGAGCGTTTTATTTGGAAAGGTATATATATTTAGAAGTTTTCAGCTTATATTCGATAATTCCAAAGAAGGTATTCCATCTTCTTGTATTATTCAATAATATTGGAACCTTTGAATTATAGTATTCCAATTATTTCAGAAGGAGGAATTGGAGGTGTGAGAGCTTTGGAGAAATAGTTCAAGCAGATTGCAAGCTGTTCGATATTGAGGTTCCCTTTTATTTGTTTTGAGTTAAAACTTTTGTCGGATTTCTTGCTATCACTTGTCTTTCGATTAGTTGAAGTTATATTTGATTTTGAAGAGTTCTTTTCTTGATTATCAATACTAATAATATTGATATTGAATAATAAGTTTGAGAATTCAGATTTTGCAATAAATAGATTATTATCCCGAAATTTAGTTTCAAAATCGGGAGTAGATATGTTATTAATTGATTATTATTCTATACGGAACTATATTGATATGATATAAGAAATGATTGAGTAGTTGAATAAACAGTATTTCTGAGTATGATATAAATATAGATTCTTTCATTCCTTTTTCTAATAACTTTATCAAAATTTAATAAAATTATATTCTTTGTAACTTCTATTCTTTCAAATCTTATAAAAGGAAAAAATTAAAAAATATGGTTTGATATCTTATTATAAGAAACTTTAATCACAGATTTCTCTTGGAAATACTTCTGGATATTCTAATCTTGAGTTAAATAGATTTTTTCTATGAGTAGTTTTTTATTTAAATTAAATAACAATTCTCCTTTAACCTCATTATAAACTATTTTAAGTTTCTTGAAACAATCAGATCCCATTTAGATATAAGTGATACCGGAGAGTTAGAAGGTTTTTCAGAGAACTCAAAATTTTCCATACCTAAATACAGAAAATAAATCTTGCCCAACCCTTTTTAAATCCATTTTATAAGAAAAAACTTTCCTTCTCAAATCAAATTGTTTATCTAGATTCCTACAAATACTATTAAAAAGATTTTTACGAATTATTTTTGTAGTCTTTTCGTAATAATAAAATATAATCCATTTAAGGATAATACTATTCTGTTTCAGGCTTATACAAGGCCACAGATCGATTTTGAGAAGGGAATTGCTTTTCCCTCTTTTTATTCATTATCAGATTAATATTATCCAACTCTTCTATAATACTAGATAATTCCTTATTCCCCCATTTCTTATCGACTTTTCTAAACTAGTGACTTTCTACTTTTTGAAATAATTCAAGAGCTCAGATTTGTATACACTTCCTAACCTTTTAATATTCTTTTTTTTGTATAGGTTACCAATATAAAAGAGTAAAAGATAATAGAGTTATAAAATAATCCTTTGCAAATATTACAAATAAATTATTGAAATATAGTACCTCCGATGAAGGAGAGGAGAAGAAGACTCTATATAGCACATCACAAAATGTACGAGAAGATGAGTGGGAACTGATTGCTTTCTCTAAACTACACAAAGAAGACCTATAAATACTAGCTACAGAAAGAGGTCACGTGACCAGTACCAAGTTTCGCTCACAATGGGTGAGATTGGGATTTTAGTTGCCTACAGATTTATAGGCTTGATAAAGTCGATTTGTATAGTTTGGAACTTTAGTATATAGTTTATATTATCTAATAAATATAGAAAATATTGCTTTATTTGATTTTGATTTAAGATAATATTTATAATATAAATATAATAAATTTTAGTTAAATCATTATTAAATTCGGATTATATTATAGTATACAAGGTAGATTCATTTGTAATTTCAATAATAGATTGCATATCCTTTTTCTTTTTTTAATAGTATTTTCTTGAGTTATAAAATATTATAGGTTTTTAGATATATCAAATAAGATTTAATAAAAAGTCAATATATCAATTTTAGAGGTTCCTGATTTAAAAGTAAAAAACAAACTCTTATAATTAATAGGGATTTCTTCTATTTTTGCTATAATATTAGATAAAGGCTTAGGAGGCTTAGTGGATCTTTTTATTAAGATTGAATGGAATATAAGTTTTGAAATATATTCCTTATATTTATATACTATAAGAGAACTTAAAAAAGCTCGAATTGATTAAAGTTGAGGTGTGAAATTATGAGATAGAGATTGAGGTGAATTTTTAAGAATTGACTTGGGTTTTTCATAAGAATAAAGAGTAAAGATATTGGGATATCTATTGCAAAAAGTATTCTTTATATAAATATCCTTTGTACAAGATATAATATATTGATTTCTAATAGTATTAGATATATTATTAAATTTAGCTCTTTTGTGAAATAATAAATTAAAAGCTTGAATTTGATTTTCTTACTTGTTATCCACATCTACATTAAATTCTACATCAAAGGAATACATTTCAGGTGTAGGCGTTTTATTATCTAAATAATCTAAATCATTATTGATTTGTGTTAAAAAGAAAATGGAATTTGATCTAAAAGGAATTGAGTTTAGGCTGATGGGAGGCTTAGATTTCTGATAGTTGTTTAGGTTGACTCGATTATTAGTATTAGATGATTAAGAGTGTATATAAGCTATTGATGTAGTTATAATAAAATGATTTAGGAAAACCATACTTCTTAAAACGGCTTATTCCCAGTATTAAAGAGATTGATTCATGCAGTCCGACTTGGTATAACTATAGATTCCGTATTTAAAATATAAAGGCTTTTTTGAATAATCATATTGTTCTGTTCCATTAACAATATTATTCTGAGAATTCTTTAGATCTAGTCCAGCCTCTTTTGCTTATATACCTATCGATATAGGAGCTTGAATATAAGCAGATTGGGGTATTGGATTTGATAGTCTCGAACTCGAATTGTTATTTCCTTTATTATTAAAATTATAGTTGTTGTTAGGGGTATTCCGATTCTATTGATTAGAGGATTGGGATTGAAATACTTGTTCTAAAAAAGATTCAATCTTCTTTTTGGATAAATCCTTGAGGTTTTGTTTTTTTAAAATATTGATAATATGATTGATGATATTGTTTTAGGCGAGTGTCTTTTCCACTTCCATATTCTTTTGAGTATTATATACTATAGAATAGCTTTTATTTAGGGATCTATAGATAGCATTTAGTTTGATAAATCCTAAGCGAAAATCAGGGTTAATAAAACCAATAACAAATACTTTAATTAAGGTTTCTTGAATATTGACTTGAAGAATATTGGTGTTGTATTTGGAGGAAGATATATCTTTACAGCCCATTTCCGACTATAAATCCTTAGTACATTGATAGTATTTTTGAATGGATTCGCTTTTCTCTTAAATTAAAGAACTCATAGCATTAAGAACTATTTATATTGAATCTTCATTTTTCTTATTCGAGAAGTGGTTAATAAAAGTAGTAATAAACTTGTCTTGCAAAACCTTACTTACTAAGTTAATATCATTTATAATCTCAAAAAACTCTTTGTTTTTGTTTAATTATTTGCTAGTTTTGTTAATGAATTTAAACAGGATGAGATTGAAGAAGGTGTACGGTTTATAAGTGTTGTTGTTAATAGTAAAATATATAGCTTGTTTGGCTTTTCGAATCTATAACTTAATGGTATTCTTTTCTTCCAAAAAAAATAATATATTATCAACCTTGACTTTAGCCCATTCAGCACGAGCTATTGAGGTAATAAAGTTATTCGACATCGTAGAAGAATTCGGCAGATAGTATATCGAAAGGATTTCTTGAATTTGGAGGATGGAAAATCGAAGTTGTAGTTTGATAAGTAATAAAATTAAATCTTCGGAGGGGTTTTGTATATCCTCTAGTAACTGTTAAGCAAATAGGAAATAAAGATTTCGTTTTTTGGGACTAAAATAAGGGTAATATCGAAAGAATCGAATAATAGTTTGGATTCGCTTGAAGGGGATAGTGTTGGTATCGTCCAGAGTAAGATTGAAAACCTGTGTTATAGATTTCCGGAATTAAGAGTAATATTAAAAAGGTATCTTAAAAGTCGAAAGGAGTTTGTATTCTGGTAATAAAGTGATGCTGAGTTCTTATAGAAAGTACTATAAAAGTAAATATATAGAGTATTTCTGAAAAAAGGAGTATTTGAAAGATAAAAAGAAGAATCAGAAGGAGTTGTTCAAACACTGAATTTCTGTAACTATATGATGGTCCTTTAAATCAATAAGATTGTATAGTATTTATAACTCTTTTGAAAGCTCTTTTGATACCGATATATTGATCATCATACAAACACTACCGTGTGACAAACTTAGAGATAAAAAGGGTTTCTGAATATTTTTAATTAAAAAACTTAATTACAAAAAAAATGGAGGTAAGATATTGAATGTATCTTGAATCCCTGCGTAGGTCACCAGAAAAGATATATAAAATCAATAGATTTATTGGTATTAAGTATAATGCATATTCTATTGAAAGCTATATACAATCCAGTTGATTATATCAATCAAGATGATTATGTAATACGCCTAATGCGTTTAGCCTGCTTTCTTATACATACGACTCACCAGGTATTTTTCCCGCATTTCGGTAATCTGTGATATATTCCCAAGGATACTTTTCCTGATCTCTTCGCACATTTCATCGAGTTTTTGCTTCACTAGTATCTGGGTCCTCGCGAGTATCATGCCTTTTTCGAAACCGGTCGCTACCCATGTTCCTCCCCAGTAGATTTTGGAGAACGGTACTGCCACCATTTTTCCTCGCTGATATTTCATCTCGAGGGATTTATCTTCTATAAGTAGAGACTCAGGCGGAGTGGTAAACACCAATCCAATATCTAGAATCCGATTTTTCTCAAAAAAATTGAACCACTCAGCGACGGTAAACTTGGGGCGTGTTTTGAAAACCCACACGTCGTGATTTTTGGAGTTAGTTATGTTCTCAGTGATGAAGAGCGAGACGTTTTTTTCGAATTGCTGTTCTGTGGAGAGGAGACTCCATAATCTGGTTCTTTCGGCTTCGTTTTGGATGCGCCAGGAAGGGTCATGTGGGCGATATCTTTCTTCCTCGATTATTCCCTTTAAGCGTTCTGGTTCTGTAATTGGTTCATCGTTCTCACAAATCTCATCTCTTTCATCCTGCTCGGTAAGTTCAGTACGTTCAACAACTTCAAAATAAGCCTTCAATCTTTCCTGCATCTCGTTTCTAGTACCGCAGATATCCAGGCCGCGAAACGCACAATACGCACGCCATTTTTTCAACGTCTCTCTGGGTGGCTCGAAATATTCCGCTTCGGGACGGTCATATTTTTCGCAGACTACTCGGTGATTCAGGGACCAGTACAGCAGACCGTCATCTTTGTTTCGTTCTCCTTGAAATACTAATTCGCCTTCTCCGTCGAGTGTAAAGTCCGGAAGGTCCTCGTGGGTAACTTCAATGGGGTGGATAAAAACTGCTGCGGGGTTTGCGACGTATTCGGTTCTGATTATGACGCCCTTGGGAGATTTTACTTTCTCTGGTTTTTTGGGCGTGACGATCTTTGGGGGCTCGGGAGTCTTCGTTTTCTTTGATTTAGGTGTGGTGGTTTTCCATGGGGAGTTAGGAGGATTAGTTTTCCTTTTCTTCGGTGTGGTGAGAGTTTTACCAGGACTAGATAATGATTTTCCATGACCTGATGCAGCGTCGCTTTGTTTCTGGCGTTTCGAAGGCGGCTCGTCTTCTTCCAAAATTGAGTTACATTTCGTTACTTCTCTCTCTTCGGAGACCGAGTCTTCCGCTGATCCCAATATATCTTCAAAGCCTAGTTGATCTTCGGATCCTAATATAGCTTCTGACCTCAATTCATCTTTTTCTCCGTATGATGCCGTGATATTCGTTGATTTTCCGCTACGCAACCAGTTCATTAGTGTTGATGTTGAGGCATTGGTATTGGCATTGGTCGATATCCCTCCGCGATTTGCTCTTTTTTCTTTCGAGGTAGTTGTTGCAGCTCTTTCGCCTTGCATGTGTTTCTTCTTGGGAGTATTTCCATCTGGAGCCGAAATCAATCCTTTATTTGATGATCGGGGATCAGTTGATGACTTTGGGTTCCCTCGTTTCTCGGAGGCAGAAGCCTCGGTAGTGTTCATCTTGGTTTGCTAACTGCGCAAATAAATATCATCAATTAATTTTTCGACCGTTTCGTACAAATATTTGAACTCAATAATCTGCCATTCTACATGTGATCCTGATTTGCAAACTTGGAAAACAGAAAGATCGAAAGCGTCGGAGCAGGAAGTTATTGCGGTAACGCATGCAGCGGGGTACTTCAATCCGGCCTTGATGATATACTAAGCTGGTGAGCACATGAACTAGCTGACCACCCATCACACTGCGTAATGGAAGAAAGTGGGTAGATGATGCACCTTAGATGTGTAAATGCCTAGTTTCTTGCAGTCAACAAATTGACTACAGAAATTCGCATTGGTCAAAATCCACAATTGGATGAAGCAGAAGGCAGATACTTATAATCATGCCCTACTGATCTTTGTTCACTTATGCCTAGATATGTGGCGCTATTGTTCATCATATTCTGAGCCAGGGTTGTAATATGCATACTCATGCATATATGAAACTGTAGAACTTGATACTTCATCCATACATAAGAAGGAATAAGAGCAATGTAACACTGATAGAAAATGCCTCTGAGATTGTCACGCTTAAATCTGCTTCATCGAGCAGTGCGAAAGAATCTGTGGAGGCCCGATAGAATATGTACTGAGAACTTCGGAGAAAAGCAGTTAAGTTAACGACATGTTTTTGAATCGAAAACGAGTAGGTATGTATCTTTAGTGGGGTTAAATACTTGCTAGCCCGAGAACATGCGAGTGACAATGTGACTTGCACCAGCATGAAACAAAACCAACTCCCATTGGCTGAGAACAACTAATCCACTATTCCTACCTCACTTTCTCCCGCTATATGACCTTACTAGACCACCGGTCCGCCCAAGCCTATTTGTATTCTAGATAGTGTTCTTCAGCAAACTGCGACACCGTTAGACTAAGACCTTGCTAGGCTCGGTACTTTATTATTCATGTTCAATAGATATAATATTCCATATTCAAAACTCAATAATTTATCGAGAATTCCAAACAAGCTGACAATACATGAAATGTAGTACAACCTCAAAAGTAGAAAACATCGAATCATTGAATCGTGGAGAATATAACCTGTCAGCCCAAATTGGTCACGCTCCACGCTACACTTTTTCAACACATCTGAATTGCAATTTGCCGAGATATCTGCTCACTCACAAACGAAACCTCGACTAGGCATTTGTTAACACTCGTGCGAGTTGCGCATTATCTATCAAAATCGCGCTTCTGATAAGTCTATCTCATTAAGCAAGCGCTTCTTTTACATTTTCCCACAGGAAAAATCGCTGATGAAAGTCTGACGCAAAAGTTTTCTCAGTACAGTGCGTTAAACTCAAATCAGTTGGTTGCGTTTCCTTGCCAGGTAACTAGCAGTTGATAGGTATATATTGCAGAAAATACCTCTTTTTCGCATCAAACTTTGCCTCCAGTGATACTTTTGCGACTCAGAGAACACTTCCCACTTATACACATGCACGCTCCTACGTTTCTTATCGAGATAAATGTCTGCAGCGCAAAACTAACTATTCATCTGGTCGTCTGATCTTTCCATATTTGCAAATCCAGAATATCACGCAAGTATTATTTGGATTGCATACGCAGTCTTGCAAATGAACGTCCTCTGTAAAACTCAATATACACATGCTAGTTCCACGTACACATACAGTATGAGAAAAATCATGCATAGATACCTAACCCAGACATGATCATGGGCAACCATACGATCAATTGATCGCCAAGCTATTTCAACACGAAAAACACAAGTGAGAACGAATCGCTTTCTAGAAAAATCTGGAACCCAGCGAAAGGTATCGATGTAAACTTGACATTGACACTTGTCCATTTTTGTGCGACGTTTCGATGACTATCTTACGAATTGTGGAGATCTACTTGGGGGTGTCAGACGTGACAAAAGTCCTAGACTTGATATCTAGGTGCGACGAGAAAATTGGCAAGTTCCACAAAATTACATTCGCAGGGCTTTTCAAGTGCTGCGAATTTTAATGGTAATAGTCGCAAAGAAGCAGAAAATTGACGAGTACATATTTAGTACCATACTAATAGATGTGAGGTAAAAACATTGCATTTTGTAAGATGCTCGCTATGCTGAATTCGATGCAAGTAATCTCCGTCATTATCATCATCAAATCCCCGTAATCTAGATGCCAATATTTCACTGTATTTTATAGCATATACCTATGAAGCCTTCTCACCATATAGTTCCTTTCTGTATTACATATATCTCCACCCCGACAGCAACTACAATCCCGATATTGCTTACAGATTCGGAAATGCCACCACCACCTGCTTTTAGTTTGCTATTTGCAGCCCACCTGATCAAGGTTTTTTAGACCGCCTGCTTCCAAATATTTCTATCTTTGGGCCAACCTCATACTCGAAATCATCATCCGCTTCGAGCTGTGCCCTATCCTCCAATAATTGCCTGCGAGTCATTGGTTCCAGCATGTCGAACTCGAGACTTAGAGATAGATTTTGCATATGAGTAACGAGATCTGAGCTTCGCGTGAGGCTCGGTAGTATTGAAAGGGGTTGAGGTGCCATGTTTATATGTAGATCATGCTGCTGTCGAGCTTGGTAGTATGGTAGTAAGGCTTTGGTGCCATCTTGATCTTCGTGTGCATCGAGACGATAAAGACCAGTCTCGTGATAGTTTGGACCTTGAACTGCACCAATAGCAGGATCTGGATTTATGGTTATAAATTTATTCTGAACAAAATGGTTTGAAATCCCAACCCCTGTGTCGGGAAATTCTTGTGTGATGTGGTTGTCCGGAGGATCAGGCTCCGGATGGTGCTTGATTAGCCTGGGACCTCTGAGATGCGAAAAGAAATGATTATTTTTGCCAGGCTGCACCCTCGATGAATCATCAGGCTCTTCGAAGTCCGAATTCTGCAGTTCAGGATCATCTTCGCTTCGTGTCAATAAATGAACTTTTCCTGTTGCATCACCAATAATAAGCTTGGAAAAGTCCGAAGAAAATGCACCGGCGCCGATCCCACCAGAAGCTGCAAGTACTTCACGAACAAATGCTTTTCCGGGCGGTCTCTTTATGTTCCAGGCTTTAACTCTGCCATCAGAAGCACCAGAATAAAATCGGTCAGAAGTTTCTCCCCAAGCAGCAAATTTAACACCGGTGTCTGCAAGTTCACGAGGAATATCATGGTAGGGGTTATCAAGTGATTCTTGGGTTCATTAGCATGCTTAATTATAAAAGGAATTGTCGATCCTCACCTCCATGTGGAAGAACATGAATTGCATCGTCGCCAATGGCTCCAGTGTCCCAAACATAAGTATTGCCATCTGTACAGCTAGCCGTTACGTAGCATTGATGAAAGCTGTTTGGCCTGTGATTATATTAGTCGCTATATCAAAGATTGAAAACGCCTACTTACATGACTGTTAATTCGTTGATATCCATGGCTGGGCAATCAAGAACTCTAATTGGATAGAAAGCGGTATAATTATCATTGTCGGTTCGTGCTGCAAATAATCTAACTTGTGTTTTTGCCTCGCTTTTGAAAAGACCGTAAGAAGAGGTGGCGGCGATGAAGGTTGGTTTGGTAGGGTGCCAGACAACTTCAAACACATTCTGGGCACGAGCAGAAGCAATAGGAACCTTGGAACCATCAGATGCATTCCATAAGCATAACTCTCCGCTATTTCTCTTGTCTTCTGGGATGTCAACCTCATCATTGCTGAATGAACGGGGTGAGTAGCCAACGAGTAAGAGATTCGAAACACTATCTGCTTTACCCCATTGGACGGTAGCAGGGTAGTATGCCCATAAATTGTTATCGTGCAACTCACGGGCTTGCTCGGCGGCTTTCTCGCCATTGTAAGTGTGGAATGTCGATTCACTTATGTTGTCATTGTCGAGGCGGTAAATACGGACAGCGTTGTTGTAAACATCAGATGCTGTAGCCACAAGATCATGGTGCTCCGAGGTTGTGACGAAATTGACTTTTCCCTCGTGCGGCCAGGTCCCCAATATATCCATTGACGATCCAGTATCAGATGGTGACACCCTCCAGACCTTCACAGTTCCATCAAAGCTTGCGGTGAAAGTGAGGCCACTATTGTGGCTATGGGATATTGCCGAAATAGAGGTGTAAAGCCAAGGATCCTGAGTCTGCCTCATAGAGTCAAGAGCATTCTCAGCATTATCTTTCACATTCACAATTGGCCGTGCAATACGATGATCTGGCATTGCATCCAGGGTCTCTTTGGAAACAGAACCAACTACGAGATTACCTGGTTTGTTGTATTGCATATTGTGGCTATCAGAGTGTGCAGTAGCACCACATACAAAAGCATCACTACTTGTCCAACTGATGGCCCAAATGTCACCGCAACAATCTGTCCACTCAACCTTTCTTTGCAATGAGTCCTCGAGGGCAGAATTAATCTCTCGTACGTATGATTTATGACCACCGCGGGATCGAATGGGGGCCATGCCGTGTACTTCACGTTGACGTAAAAGCGCTGAGAACTGTCTAGGAGACCTTTTAGGACCTACCATAAGGGTTCTTGAATTCATTGATACTTCGCCATTAGCGGCATCTCTGAGAAAAGCAGCCAGTGATTCTGGTCCACGACTCTGAATAAGGCTCTGACTAGGATCTTCACAGGGCTGCGGTATCAACAACGAGACCAGTTCAGGTATTTCAAGCGTCTGCTTTTGCATGAGTAGTGCCATGCCTGGCTTCCCTCTTAGTTGTGTTTGCGATTTCAAAACTTTGCGTACAATCGATAGTTCTTTCTCGCAAAAGTCGATGTGGTAGATACGCCCGAGAAGCACCTCTCTTTCTTGATCAGAGACGCGTTGGAGGCCGAGGTGGATTCTCTCACGGCCCCTAGCATCGATATATGGCCGAGGTTTTCCATCAATAGTTTGCCCAAAGGAAACTGTATCATGAGAAGATGTTATATCAGCTAGATCAAGGGTTGTTTCAACGTGCACAGTGTTGTTGTTAGCTTGCTTGAAGGAAACAAATCTCACACTCTCTGTCTTGGGCAGAGAGCCATTTTGCAGAAACCGAATGTCCTTTGAAGAAGAATCTAACTCTGTTTGAATATTTTGAGTTCGAGATCGCGTACCTCTTTTCGGAAGAGAAACACTACTTGTTTTATTGACTGTTCGTTCGTCCTCATATGTGCCAGAAGCATCAACATCCTTGCTGAAGGATGTTGCTGGGCCCAGACTATATGCAACAAACTCGTCTACGTAATGCTTGACTTTCTCTGATATCGCGATCTCATCCTCGTGCGACAAACCATATTTATTGAGATTTCCGAACATAGGACTGTCCACAAGTACGCCAGCAACTGAAGTGCCAATCTCATGGAGTTTCTTTGGGTCTATCGTTTGCTTGTGGCGTACCATCGCAGCATTGATATGAAGAAACACCTGGTCATGGATCGTCTCTGAGAACCTATCGTTGGCCTGTGAGGATACAGAAGTAGATTGAGAGACGGAGGATTTCAAAGACTCGCTGATGCTTGAGGTGGCTCGTTTAGGAGGTAGTATAGCTGGCATTGAAGCTCGTCGGGGTGTAGATTCTTCGATATCCCGAGTGTGTCTGTTATAGTGCTGAGCGGAGTCCTGCTCCGTCATCCCTCTCGTCGACCGCCTAACTTTGGAGGCATTTTCAATCGTAGGGTGCAGCTCTTTATAAGAAACATTTTGTTGACTTTGTCCGTTGAGATGTTGAGCGTAGTCCTGACCAGCCATTCCGCTCTTTGTCCACCGCCCGGGGGCTACATCTTCGATTGTGGGTTGCAGAACCTGATTTGAGCTAATCTCCCCCGGGGCCCTCGAAATCCGCCTTCTCTTCGGGGCATGTTCTATTTCAGGGTGTGGCTCTTGGTTAGACCGTGTGTTAATGCCTTTGTTCCCTTCTCGATCTCGTCTTTTTATCGCAGATATATCGGAGGATAGTGCTATATCTCTGGGCTGAGTAGTTCTAGTTGCGACGGTAGCGCCTGGTAGTATCGGCGCATAAGTGAATCCATTAGAGGTAGGCATTGAAGCTCCTTTATACTCTGGATTCTTTGGTAGGATTGGCGCAAAGCGATTGTCTGATTGAGAGTTTACATATGGTCGCGAATTTACAGTTGAAGGCGCTGAAAATGTCCCAGGAATTATCATGCCATGATTTGAACGCAGCAGATAAGGCGCATTAGAGATTTCCTCGTCGTCTCCTGTCAAATCGATCACCAAGGGACTAATATTCTATAAGTCGCGTGTGCGAAATTGAAAGGAAATATTGACTTACGGTTGTCGCGTCATGGGAGCCGGTGCCATGGAGCAAGAATCAAGACGCGGTCTGCAGGGAGATACCGAGGTCCCATAATATGCGGCAGAAGCAAAAGAGATTCGCGGAATTCAAGAGTTGAATTCGAATTCAAGGGTGTTTGCAGATGTACATGGAACAATAGGGCTGAGAATCATAACACTGATGTTAGCCAATACCTTATCGTTATCGACAAATACCTACATCTAGAAAGGGAAAGGAATCACCGAATGCGGGGATCACCTGATCTTAACAAAATGCAGGCTTGCTCTTATAAATGCAAGGCTGACAGTTCACCAATCTCACTACCAACTATTGTATCATCTACCAGGTTATATATGCCTTCTAGCCAGCTTGGCATTGTTATAAAAGTCCGTCTTTGGTGATGTTGCGATGGCATGCTAGATACAACTAAGTGTTGACGCAAAATCAAGACTTCGCACGATGATGCTTCTTGGCTTGGCTTTACGGTCTCTCTGAGAAATACAAATTTGCCAACACAGACAAACAGAGCGACACAATCATAGCTGACCTTTTTTTTCAGAGCTACCTATAACCATCAGGCTAAAGATAGTTCAGCTTGGGGATAGAAGTCAAAGGTATTTGCATAGCACCAAGAACTAGAACATTGACACTCTTTTAGATTTCACAGTATTACGTCACCAATCAAAACCTGTGGGCCAGAGATATCAATCACAGAATCTCACCATAATAGTCCTATTGCATTGACATCTCATAGTAGAAAGCTCTAATATCTGAAGAGTAGTTCTAGAGTACAAAGATAAGAGATGTATCTAGCTTTCCTTGTGACCGTATATTGTTGATGATTTGGATGCTAGGTAGATCCTTTAAGCTGGAACCTCAACTTCCTTGCTGATATCCAACTCCTCGTGTCTTCGGAGATCCATTGGTTTTCCAAGGAGTGGAACGACGTATGGGTCGAAAGTCTTCCAGTATGGGTTCTCGAGGTGGTACTTTTGACTCTGCAATGATAAATTAGTATCATGTTGATAGAGATATGACATATGGAACTAAACTGCACATACACTTTCTTGTTCGAATCTCTCTACAATGGTAAATGCTCTAGGGTCGTGGACATCTTGCATGACAATCCAGTCAACAGTTTCCTTGTCCTGCTTGTAGACTCGGGATGCTTCAATGAGCTTGGCCTTGATGCGGGGTATGGATTCTGGGTGCTCGTTGGCATAGAGATGAACGGTCAAGGTGTAAACCATTTTGAAGATGTTGCTTTGTCAGGGCTGTTATGAGCGGTTGACGGTATATGGCTCGCGAATGTTTTGAGTTCAAGAGTCGAGTTGTTAGTTTGTGGAAGGTAAAGAGAAGTTTTGGAGGGGCTACATTAGGTTTGAGCTTGTAGCTTAAATGTGGAACAAGAAAGGAAGGGCCGATGAATGGAACACCGAAATCGAATATATACTTTGAACAGAGTATGTTTATCCCCCAAGGAGACGTCAATCCGAATACTTTTTGCTATTCCAATGAAGATTCAGTATCAATCACGGTCCATCAAAGCTCCAAGAAAGCCTCATGCAATGTCTCACAAAACATTCACACTTTCAAAGTCCCATGAGTATAGTGGTGGTATCACGTGACATATAAGAACTTTTTATTCGTCGTTGTTACTACCGTCGATACTCCGTAGGGCGTGCCAAATTGGTTTAAATACCTGGGTACCTTTTTACCGTTACTCCACGTCACATACTCAAAAATTCCACAATCCCAAATGTAAAATCCTGTCTACTTCTCATCTACTTCTCAGACAAGCACCCAAAAGTTACCTAGATATCTACATAATACATACGGTGACGTTATTGATATGAAGTCCAATACTTCTCAAGTACCAGAGCTTCCTGGATACTATTACGGTACCTCAACCTCATCTAATTATCACAATATCGATTGACGCGCAAATTACTAAAGTTACTTTTAGATAGCGAAAAGAAAAAGTATTTCAAGATACAGGCAAATGCACCATCAGGTTCTGCATACTCATCTCACGATGTGAAGAGACGCAAGCTTGACGACGAGAACAACAAAGCCGAATCGTTAAGGGTTCAGCGGAATGTTGGCCGTATCAAAAGAGCAAAGATTCTTGAGTCCCCTATGGCTGGTGGCTTTTTATCTAGAGAATTCGGACAGCCTTGCTTGAACACTGCTGCTGCCTCCTATTATGCTCAAAGTCTCTCCACAGCGTTTGCGGTTGATTATTACCCACAGGACAACCGAGCAAGCGGCGCCTACCTTTTCGACGTGAGTGGTTGTACTAATGTGTCTGATCCCAAAGTTCTTATGTCTTATGGTAAGTTTAAATCTTCAGTGTTTCAATTCGGATCCGGCAACCAAATGGTCGTCCAGGCTTGAATGCTTCCTTCTATGTCCCAAGACAAATTTGATAATAAAACTATTATTTTGGCACGCAGCGTCACGTTCATCGTGTAGAGCCATTGTAATTTCATTCACAACCTACTTCTCAACTGACAATTCCTAAGCTGCCAATAATACAATCCTACACCTATCGTACGACTATGGAAAGAAAGCAAAAGACAAACCAAGAGTGCCTAATGTGTTCGGATCTCATTTCAGATTTCAGAGGTCCTACAATCTGGGGTTTCCACCAGGCCAATCTACTTCTATCAGTGCTAATGAGTCAATTGGGCACGTTGTAACGACATGGTCAGGTGTACCCGCATCTAGAGCAGTCGTGATTAGTCCCTTTCCCCCGCCTGAACTCCGACGTAAGTCATTCCAGAACTTGTTTGCGTGTGTACAGATCAAAAGGTCAATCTATTCATTACTCTGTTCTGCTCATCCACCCTCTATTCTTCATATGTAGATTGTGTGTGGACACGGTTAACGTGACCTCAGCTCATCCTATGAAATCCGACATTCACCTCAGTCCTGGGACTAAGCGAGGTCTAGTCGATGTCCTCTCATCAGCCTCGGCGCCTACAAGCTCACCGGATGCATTTGTCATTGGTACGAGCAAAGGCATCCTTCGGATCAATCAAAATATGGATATGTCCTGGATTCGAACCCTCAACACAAAGGACCAGTATTACAGCGATGTATTCGCAGTGCAGTATCAGTCAAATCACAAGGATATCCTCCTAACGGGTGAACGAAGAGGTATTCTTAGTCTCTTAGATCTCCGGACATCCCAATCTGGGTCCATAGCAAAGATTCAACACACAAGCGGCATCGCGGAAATCAAGTCTCTCGACGAACATCGCGTCCTTGTCGCAGGGTGTGCATCCGATCTTTGCCAGTACGATAGACGATTTACCAAGCCAAATACTCACCTCTCACACACATTAAAACACACTAAGAACACTACAGCCCCTACAACAGCTTATCTAAATTACCCCGATTACCGAAACAACGGCCGGCTGAGCATTGGACTAGACGTAGACCTTGAGCTTGGCATTATCGCAGCCGCAGATGACGTTTCGACAACAGCCATCGAAGCAAGAATTAAGATCTTCTCTCTACACGGAGCGCAAGTTTTACACGAACACACGATTCCAACCGATGTTCCCAATATGGGTTGTGTAAAATTCGTACAGGATACATTCAACGAACCCAAAAGTATCTGGGCAACCTTTGCACAGAAGATCGTGCGGCTCTCGCTCGATGATAATCATAACATCCCATCGTTCAAAGCGAGCACGACTTGGCTCTCGGGATCATGAAAGCCTTTCTGAAATTACTCAGAAGATCGATGCGTGCAGCGAAGAGTAATAGATTCTCCGGAAAATAACATGGAGTTCTGGAAAATACGGAGTTTCGGGAATTGCGGAGCGCATCGGAGTCTTCGCGAAAGAATGAAATATGGACTTCTGCTACTTTATCTATTGAATCTTGGTCCGCATTATGTATATATTATATGCGACATATCGCACGGAGTCGCAGGAGTTTCGGGAGTTACTACCTAATTACTTACTTACTTACTTGGAGGAGGATTGAGGTCTCAAAGGAACACGGAGTTCTCTTATTCCACATCCATACATGTTTCATTCACAATCTGTACATCACTCATTTTCTCATTCCCTCATTTCCTCATTTCCTCATCTCGAAGATGTAGCGAGAAATGAAAATGGGCATTCGATAAATAAATAAATAAAAGTAAGGGTTTCTACGCTGGCGCAATCTTGAGATGTCAGCCCGGACTTGATAACAGTACATAATTCTGTATAAAACCCTGCTTTAGAAGGGCACCCATGACTTCTATTACTAGAGCCTTGTACGGAGTAACTACTTCCCATTTGTGACAATAACAAATCGAACCTTTGACGAAAAATGCAAATCCATACCTTCAGATATTTTAGTAGTGGCTGCAACTAACTCAAATCAAACATATGCATCGAATGACACACTTCTTTACGAATATGACAATTATAAGTTTGTAAGAATTTTCAATCAATGCTGTTACACACTTTTATTTCCATGGTTGTGCATGAAATGCTGCACCTAGTCTCCATGTCCAATGTATGCTAACCATAACCGGCCCCAACCATCGTGATATCTTCAACTTTCCATATTACTTTCCACGTCACTATCTGTCTCTTCTCTCTTTCTTGTCTTGCATACACCAAACGTCCATTCTTTAATGCAAACTACTATCCTCCATAGACGCTTGCCGTAGCCATTAAACAAAAGCTTGAGTTGATCCAAGTCTCCAAATTCCTCCTATTCGTGCTCCTATACACTGTTTCTTAATGCCATTTCTGTTTCTGCACAAAAAGTTTAAAGGTCAAGAACTTGACATCCATCCGATCTTTCCAACATAGGTGATAAATGCCAGAACATAACTCAAGGGGCATAGCCTCGCTTGTCCCATATGGTTCAGTTTTACAAAATAAGTGTATTAGTATTCGAAATTATTGAAGACGCTTTCTTTTGCGATCTTCTTCCCTGAGCATTTCTTCCTCGTGTTCTTCCGCGCGTTCCGCAGTTTCGGCTGGATTCAAAATATGTGCCATACTTCCTCGCCGAGTAGGGGGCCCTGAATTATCTCTGAAGAGACCTGGTCTTTCTCTATCCTTGGATCCGCTCCAGGACCAGCTATTTAGATGCTCTGCTGCATTTCCGTTGGTGTATGGAGGAGTTGTTGGGCGAGATAAGCTGTGGCCATGTGTTGCTCCGGCGAGTGAGTACATGCTAAAACTATCGCGAATTCTTTGGTCCTCGTTGGCCATGTGCGTTGCTGTTCTCTTGGGAGATGACGGATAGTGTGACGACGATTGGCCTGACGCGAAAGGGGATGAAGCAGGTTGCCATCCGACTACGTTACGAATATCAGCAGAAGTGTGGCGGCGTGACAAATTAGACGGTGGTGATGATGCGTTAGCGAGTGGGTGGGGTGGGGGTGCGGGTGGTGGCGCTTGGGCTCTCAGTGAACTTGGTGAGGATTGTCCCGTACCTGTACCTCCAATCGAGCCGTACCCTCTGCGGGCAGAGAGAGACAAATGCGATGGAATAGGAGGTCGATGGAAATTTTGGCGAGGTGGAACTCCAAGAAATGACGAGCGACGAGGGTCGTCTTGGGGTACTTGGCGAGGTGATGGGGGATTGTCCAATTGCAGATTCGAGAAATATGGTCGACTACTTGAGGCTGGGGGTTCGCTCACTTCTTCCATGCCTCTGATGGTTCCCATGTGTCGCTGGATCTCGTCTTGCATGGCAGCAACTACAATGCGTCAACAATCAAGGAAGTGGCTTGGTAGTCACGGAATACATACCGTCGCGATGTAAACCTGAATCTGGACCAGATAAAGAGGCTATCATCCTAGACAACTCATAATTCATCTACGCAAAATTAGTCATGGCTCCTTCTTGTTTCAGTGCCGTTGGTAGTTACATGTAGGACACGAGTCAGAATATCCATCATACCCTGATGTCTGACGTGGAAAAATTGTTGATTATCGGCTTCTCTCGACTGTTTAGCATGCATCTCAAAAAGACCATGTTCCAATTGTATCAGTCTAGACTCCGTTGATTCCTGAATTGGTTGAATTGGTTCGCCTGGAGTTCCGGGTTGCGAAAGCGGTGGTTTAGGGGCAGAGTATGAGTCTCGATGAACGAGAGATTGTCGCGAAGCCCGTCGTCTAATCTCCCTCAAACCGACGACATCTCCGCGCTTGAAGCTGTTTTGTCCATGTTTAAATTCCCATAGCGGCGTTTCCGGCGCATTTTGATGGAAGACATCACTGACTGAATTTCTATTAGCGAAAATAACCGATGGCTGATATGGATAACTAACCTTTGTGAAATCCGTACATATTCAGCTGGCGTACAAAAGAGGAAATGTTGGTATGTTTGAAGTATTGTCTACAACCCATGAGCAAATGATACAGCCCAAAGTGCGTTTACTTACGAAAGGACTTTTGAGAAATCGCTGGATGGTGACATTACGAAGCTGTCCTGGGTAGCGGACCAGGAGATAAGATGTCGAATATTAACATCTTCCAACATACTGGTACACAATCAGTACTTATAGACCAGTAGTAGCTTCTCTTGAGCTCCAACCTGTATAATTTGTGAATGAATGCAGTTTGCACTACTTTTGGCTGAATTCCTCCCCCAGCTGCAGCTGCGGCAGCTGCACTAGGAGTCGCCAAGCTGCCTGAGCTAGGTTGATCTTCCACCATCATATGTTCTGGAATGCTGTTTGCTTCGTTATCGGGACTTGTCCTCGAAGGGGGTCCCATCATCGCGCTGCCGGGGGGCGTAACATCCATTGCGTCGCCAGATGGAGCGGGGGGTTGTAGAGTGGGTTGTTGAATGATTGGAACTGTTCGAGCGGGAATTTGGCCTAGACTGGGGCCATTGATGTAGGAGTGCTGTTGCGCTCGATCATCCATCACGTCCATCTTCGCAATATCTGAGTACTGCAATGTACCTCAATCTTTTGTGTAATTAATGAGGGTCGAGCTTCTAGACACGTCGTGCTTGATTAAAACCAGAACGTCAAGGCGGCGCACATGAAATGCGAAAGGGGGGGGGGAACATACCTCATCGCATGCGAAAGTTAATGGAGCTCTGAATTGCCAGAAATTCCGATGATGATGTTGAGAATGGCTTCTTTGTCCGATGCTACTTGCTATCCTGCAACTTCCCGAGACACCTCAGCCTCGCTGCACGCTAAGATGGTAGCAAATGGCAGGAGATATGATATAGGATGATATGCGAGTCTTATCAAAAGAATCTTGAGTAGCGACGGCAATTAATTCAGATGTGATCAAATTGATGTTTGGAAGTGTGTGGGTGAACTATCTCATCTGGTGAGTTATGAAGTAGTAGGGAGGTCCGTTGAACAAGTGCCGATTACAGATAATGATATCCGAACTTTAATGTGCAGAGACTGCTTAGTTAGATGATAATTCATTCAAATCTGGAATCAATTGAAGGGGAGTATTAGAGTGAGGACAGCAATCCAAGGAAGATATAAAATATAAAGCAAATAAAATAAAATACTACAATAGAAAGCCGGATGAGGGTGCGGATGGTATTTCAAAGTACTTTGGGATGCAGGTGGTGAATAAATGTTAATAAGAAGTGTAATAAATGTGAATGTCAAATGTCATTTGTAGATCTGGTACCAGACGAGTAGATGTGGATGGGTGTGGATGGGTGTGGATAGGTGTGAATGTGGATGTGGATGGTAAAGAACATTGAATGATGTTTAACCAGGATAAGCTATACCGGATATGAATTAAAAGCCCCGCTGGGAATAAAAAAAAAATTGTTTAGTTCCCCGATATCGTCTTGGGTCGTTCTAGGTATTAAATTGAATGGATGGAGTGAGAGCTAGTCATTTTGTAGTAATAAATGCTGCATGTATAAATGTATAATGTCACACTATATTTTGTGAATGAAAAGCAAAATTTGATCAATTTGATGAACTCGATAAATTTGTTAAATCTCGAGAACCTCAAGGTTTATTACCACCCTAGATATTAGAATATATATGTATATATATATATATACATATGTGAAAAAAAAGGGGGGAGAGGGGGGACAAGAGGAACCTTGGTCAAAAGGTTCAATTGCTATTAAAAAAAGTAGATATATACGAAGGATATATACGAAGGATGTGTACAAATTTTAATATGGTTTGTATTGTATTGTATTGGCCATGATGCGTACGTACCATGTTCAATGTGCAAAATACCTAGTAGACATGGTGACGGGTGACGAGTGACGGGTTACGGGTGACGAGTGACGGGTTACGGGTGACGAGTGACGGGTTACGGTCATCGTCCTTTCTCTTGCGATCGATCGATTATGCCATCGCATGAACATGCACAGAATTTTCTTTCTTTCTTTCTAGAAGCATACAAACACCATCGAATACCACATCGTACGGGACATGGAAGCAGGAAAGAAGGAAGAGGAAGAGGATGCGGCGGCTATGGTAGCTAAACGTTAAGAGCACGGATGAATAAGGGGGCTCGGGGGCTGTTGTTCCTAGACTTGCATCCATCTCTTTACATGGACTTCTTGGTGCGCGCACGCATAGGAAAGGTGGAAAATGTGGAGACGGCTGACGGAGGACGGATCGTAGCAATACTAGCACCTCGCTCTCTTTCCGTAAGGACTCAGGAGTGCGTGAGTAGCGTCAGATGGCGTGGTGGATAGGAATTCCAATCCGGACGGGATTTCATGGTCGAAAGACAAATAGGGGGATCCAAATTCTAATCCTTCAACTTTCTGGCCCCCAAAGTATAATCTACCCAGGATACCTAGACCTTTCCAGTAACATCTTACGAACATACAAACGCCAACTGAAGTTGCCGTGTTGAGTGTTGAGTGTCGAGTGTCGAGTGTTGAGTGTTGGTTGAGTGCGTGTGTTCCTACAACACACCACACATCTCTACTGCCAATCTGGACAAATTAACCTTCACGATCTGTTCGTCCTACCCTCCAATCTCGAATAGCGCATTGGTCATGAAACAGCTTGGGCATCACAAGCACGGTCATCATAACGATTCCTGGAGACTAATACATGTTTTACCAGAGTGTATCTTACTCGCAATGAGATTCCAATAACTCTAAAGAACGGCTGGCAGGTCATCCGTGGTCATCTGTATTGCCCAGACCTCAAAGCTTAATAGAGTTCAGACCAACCGGTCTCATATTATGTTCGACGCGCCGCAATTAGAAC